GTTGGTTAAAAAAACTAGAGATGTCAATGAATAATCTGTTTGTTAGACAACAGATTATAAGTTTATACAAGTTAGTAATATAAAGCAAAAAGCTTGAGAAATATAGTTTAAATGTTATGTTCTTCTTCTTTACTATAAAATCTTGGCGTCTCAGAGGACCATGACTCCCAGTTACAGCTTGAAATTAACACGTTTCCTTATAGTGCAGACGGAATCAGACTGCAGACTGGAAAAAATCTAAATTAGATAAGTCAATTTTTCTTAAAATAAGTGCATTTGGTCTTTTAGTAAGGAGGTTAAAGAGCACTAGAAAAAAACAATCTGGAAATAAGTAATCATTTCTTAAATTAAGTATATTTACCCTTAATTGGAGTAGTTTAATGACATAATTTACAAATGGTGTCTTTTCTTATTTTAAATCTAAATAGTTTTGTTGCATTGGCAAAATGTCTCTTTTAAGTTAATTGAGACATTTTGCCAATAGAAGAAGATTTACATAAAAAAAAAATGTATTGTCTTATTTCAAGTGCATAATATCTTATTATCTAATTTTTAAGAGTGAAAACACTAATTTGGCGAATCATCTTGTTAACCTACTCAAATTAAAGGTAAATACAGTTAATGTAAGAAATTTCTACTTATTTCTAGATTGTTTTTGCAGTGTGCAAGAAAGCCACACTTCAAAAACTTCCCAAAAATGAGTTAAAATGTCTTAAAATAAATGTATTTTCCCATTAATTTGATTAGGAAAATAAGATGATCTGCCATTAGAATGAGTATTTCTACCCTTAAAATAAGTAATTAGATATTATGCACTTTAAACAAGACACTGCCGCCTTATTTTCTTATTTTAAAAGCAAATTTTCTTATTCTGTTTGCAAATGTATTTTAAGATAAAAAATGACTTATTTTGGTTTCTTTGTGTTGGATCCCAACAGGTCGCCACTGTTAGGGAGCTGCAGATACGAGTCAGCAGGTCTCCATAAAAACAATAATCTAATTCCACATGGTGACTGAAGGCAGAAAAAGTTCATCGGAAACTTCCAAAATGGCCGAACATCTCTGGGACGTCACTATTTGGATCTTAAATTGGGCTGGACAATATTTAATAACTAACGGTAACTATAGAGACGATATCAGGTCCCATATTTTCTATTCCTCCTCATCTGGGCTTCAGTCACTCTGACCTTTAACAATATTGGCGACGCTATTATCTCCAGTGTTAGCATCTCCTGCCATGAGACTGTCTAAACTAAACATTAGGATAAAAATAAAGGTTAATACCTGCTGGAGCTGATTACAGGACAATTATTTGACCCTAATATTAACACTGACGCCGTAACCATTCTGTTTGGCTGTAGCCCTGATCTAAACACGGGGAAATTAAACTGACTTTTTCCAGACATCAGGTCAGGTTTCTGAAGTATGAAATCACCAGTCTGAATATAGTCTGTGTGCTGAGATGGATGGTGATGCAGTCAGGAAGTCCACAAACTGTAGTTAAAAGCCTTCAGCTGATCCAAAATGCTGCAGCCAGAGTTCTGATGAAAATGAAAAAGAGAGATCATATCTCTCCTAACCCAGGGTTCCTACAGCATAAGGCAAGTTAAATTCAAGACTTTTTAAGACTTTTTAAGGACCCGTGGGAACCCGGTATCCTGGCTTCTCTTCATTGGCTTCCTGTTAAATCCAGAATAAAATTCTCACATAGAAAGCCTTAAAATCTGATATCAGATTGTGTATCTGGTTAACCGTTTCTGTGTCCTAAAGAAAACGAGGAATATTTTTCCATTTTTCTGAAAGAGGCCAGCAGGATTTTCGTTTCATGGTTTTGTTGCGGTGATGTAGGGACAACGTGACGTCGTAGGAGAATAACGCAGCTTTATTTTTATCTGATCTGGAGAGAACAGTTTGCTTCACTTAAAGTATTAAACAGTAAAATGTTATGAATAAACCTTGTTATGGGAATAAGAATGTCTGAGTTAAATTGCATATCGGGCAGAGTTAAATTACCTGTAGATAATGGGAAAGGTTTTGCAGTTCTATGGTAGTAGAACAAAAGGCAAGGTTCTGGGGAATTGTCAACTGCCCAAGGAGAAATTTTTGATCAAATGCTAACAGCTTTAAAGATAATTAGAAATCAAATACTGGAAAATTAGCTCAAACAAAGTCCTCTTCTTCTCCATAAAAAAAAAAAAAAAATCATCAAATAAATAAATGTAATCTAACAACAACTTAACTGTTTTTAATATTCTTTTTTTAGTTTCTGCATTTTTTATTTTGTTTTATTTATATTTTTTATTTATTTTTTTATTTTTATTTTTTCCTACTTGCTTTGATTCTGTTTTATCTTTCTGTATTTTAATCATGTAAAGCACTTTGCATTGTCTTTGTACTGAATTGTGCTATGCAAATACATTTGCCTTGCCTTGCCTTGGTCTACAAACACCCCCATTCAGCCATTGCGTGGCCTTGCAGGTGAAACATGCTGAGTGAAAATAAGCATAAATTAATATATGAAATAATAGAAATCTAAATTTTCCGACCACAGGGACGTACTGATCATTTTTACTACTGAGGATCATTTCTTTATTGAATAAAGAAGTATATTTTTGCTTTAGCTAAATCTATTTTTAGACTTCTCAAACATTTTTTTCCATCCTGTATAATAATTAGAAGCAGCTTCTATTCAAACCAGAAACTTATAGAGAACTTTAATCCATTTTGGTTCATTTCAGTTTCATTTTATTACATTGTTTAGATCCCAAACCTTTGTTATAAAGATAATTTTTTATTTTAGGCCTTAAAGCATCGCCTTATACTCTTGGTCTGTCTGGTTTAATTGTCTTTCTGCTTCTTTTCTGTGTTAGAAACGGTTAAATGTTTCCTTTGGATTCCATGTATTATGAAAAGTCAAAGACAATGACAGATCGTCTTCTTGACTCTGGACTGAGCAGCGTCTGCTCGGCTTTCGGCTTCAGCTCATTTAAATCCAGAACATGTTCGTAGCTACAGTTCGCCCATTAACAGGCCGGCGAACCTCCCCGACACGTCCAGTCGTGTCAGTGGAAACACACAGAGACAGAGCGGCGGTTTGATCCACCCGCTCTTTGCGTTTTAAGGCATGTATTATTGATTAGAACAAGCAGCGGTGAAGTGAAGCGCCGCCACAGCTTTGTTCAAGGGCAAAGCAGCAAGTTCGGCACTTAGCCGTCTGACAGGCGAGAGAAGAGGCAGAGAAACAGACGGAGAGGGTTAAACCCGACCGAGGAGACACCAAACCGAGGCTCAGAGCGCTTGGAAACATCTGAGGCGAGGCAGAGGCCGACTTTAAGGGATTGAAGCAATAAGCTCACTGTTGGAGGAATCAATGCTGACCCCAGGTCTGCCTGTCCACAGCGGGTCATTATGGCTCCGCACGTCAACATGAACATCACGCCACAACCATCAGGGATGCAGAGGAAGCAGATAGAATTGTTCTGGTTTACGAAACAGAAATAACTTCCAGAGGCTTTGAGACCAGGTTAGAGTTTGTTCCACTTGTCCAGCTTCTCTTTAGATCTTAATGTCCACAAATAATAAAAGGACCAGCCAAGGACCAGCCAAGGGCAGCCAAGGACCAGTCAAAGACCAGCCAAGGACCAGCCAATGACTAGCCAAGGACCAGCCAAGGACCAGCCAAGGACTAGCCAAGGACCAGCCAAGGACCAGACAAGGACCAGCCAATGACTAGCCAAGGACCAGCCAAGGGCAGCCAAGGACCAGTCAAAGACCAGCCAAGGACCAGCCAAGAGCCAGTCAATGACTGGCCAAGGACCAGCCAAGGACTAGCCAAGGACCAGTCAAAGACCAGCCAAGGACCAGCCAAGAGCCAGTCAGTGACTAGCCAAGGACCAGCCAAGGACCAGGCAAGAGCCAGTCAATGACTAGCCAAGGACCAGCCAAGGAACAGCCAAGGACCGGCCAAGGAACAGCCAAGGAACAGCCAAGGACCAGCCAAGGAGTAGCCATGGAACAGCCAAGGACCAGCCAAGGACCAGTCAAAGACCAGCCAAGGACCACTAAAGGACCAGCCAAGGACCACTAAAGGATCAGCCAAGGGCCAGACAAGGACCAGTCAAAGACCAGCCAAGAGTCAGTCAAGGACCACTAAAGGACCAGCCAAGGACCAGCCAAGGGCAGCCAAGGACCAGCCAAGAGCCAGTCAATGACTAGCCAAGGAAGAGCCAAGAGCCAGTCAAGGACCACTAAAGGACCAGCCAAGGACCAGCCAAGAGCCAGTCAAGGACCACTAAAGGACCAGCCAAGGACTAGCCAAGGACCAGCCAAGAGCCAGTCAAGGACCACTAAAGGACCAGCCAAGGAAAAGCCAAGGACCAGTCAAGGACCAGCCAAGGACCAGCCAAGAGCCAGTCAAGGACCAACAAAGGACCAACAAAGGGCAGCCAAGGAAAAGCCAAGGAAAGTGTGGAAATTTAGAATGGCTACTACTGTAGGTTATTATGCAGCAAAGGTCAACAGGCCGGAAATCAAACCTGCGGCGGCGGCTGTGCCCGTTACTAATCCATTTATCTTTCTTCTAAAGAGAGAAAATGTTATTAAGGGAAGTTTTATTAGTATTTTAATAGTATGTAATGATTTCTCAGCAATACCTGCAATAATCTTTGACTAAGAAAATACTCTGAAAATTACGTGATGTAATTTTATAACTTATAACTAGAATTTATAACGATGCACTATAAATAATATTTCCATCTAATTGTAAACATACATTTGTTTGGTGTCTATTCGATGTGCGAAACGTCCCCCCCCTGAAAACAAGCCCTTCTTTTCTCTGCTTACCGTAGAAAAGCCTGATTAGAAATCCAGAAATCTACAGAACCTGAAAGACGAGCTTTTTCACCCAGAACTAAAAAGCTAAACTTTAAAAGCTGATGTTTTAAAGGAGGCGGCTGACAGAAAAACCGGACCAACGCAGAGATGAAGGTTAAAGTTCTGACCCGAGTTCAGCAGTTCCTGCTCCATCACTCCACAGCCCAGCACCTCCATCCAGTCGCCCTGGAAACGCACCTCCAGCTCAAAGGAGGGATGAGTGAACGGGAAGTAACAGTCGACCCACCGGACATCCACGTCTGAACGAGAGGAAGATGGTGGTTAAAGAGGGCGGATGTGTCATCGCCGCAGTGGCGCCGAACGACCGATCTCTATTTATTCCCTGGATTGCTGATTTCCTGAAAAAAGTGATGATTTGATCTTTGTTTTAAAAGTCTTAAGTCCACCTGAAAATTAGAACATTATTGTTCGATGCTGTAGAGCACATATCGTTTACATTGCCACCGGTCTAACTAGGGAGTACCAATATGGCCGCCGGTGGCGTCACTTCAACCCCGTACTACCAACTGGAAATCAGCAATCCAGTGAATAAATAGAGATCCGTGCACAGAACATCCTGCCTGCCCCACCTGATCCAAACAGGTGAGTGACGAGTCGGGTTAAGGTCTGCTTCAGGTCAAACTCCACCAGCTTCACCGCCTCCAGGGTGTGGCTTTCCTGCTTGTGGGGCGTCCGGCGGCCTCCCCGCTCAAAGAGGGACAGATCCTCGCCGTTCGGGACCTTAGAGAAGAGCTGACCGACACAAAGGTCACGTTCAGACGTTCTGCTTTTAACTGCAGGTTCTTCAGTTTATCAGGTTTCCTTCCGACTTAACCAACATCTAAACAAATAAGTTTATAAAGTTAATTATTCTGGAAGCTTGAAGGGACTAAATCATATGACGGAGTACTAGAGCCAGGCTAGAGATCTCTTTTTCTTCTATTTCGAGAATAAAGTCGTAACATTACGAGAATAAAGTTGTGATATTATCGGAAACAAGTTGTATTTTATGCCAACTCTTCCCAGAATCCCTTTCTTCCCTAAAATGAGGAATGTGGAGCATCATGGAAAGTTCTACTTTAGCATCGGTTTGAAACATCAGGAAATCTTTTAGCAGCAGCATCAAACTGGGCAGGATGTCAAAGTGCTGATTGGTGGAGCTGGTCGGCCGTCATCTGCTGGGCAGAGCTCCAAGCTTTCTTTCTGAAACAGGTTATTGAATGATGACTTCTTTTTCGTAGTATTACAACTTTATTCTTGTAATGTTACGACTTTATTCTCGTACTGTTACGACTTTATTCTCGTAATGTTACGACTTTGCTCTCGTAATGTTACGACTTTGCTCTCGTAATGTTACAACTTTGCTCTCGTAATGTTACCACTTTGTTCTCGTAATGTTACCACTTATTCTCGTAATATTACGACTTTATTCTCGTACTGTTACGACTTTATTCTCGTACTGTTACGACTTTATTCTCGTAATGTTACGACTTTGCTCTCGTAATGTTACGACTTTGCTCTCGTAATGTTACGACTTTGCTCTCGTAATGTTACGACTTTGCTCTCGTAATGTTACGACTTCATTCTCGTAATGTTACGACTTTGTTCTCATATTATTACGACTTTGTTCTCGTAATGTTACGACTTTGTTCTCGTAATGTTACGACTTTGCTCTCTTAATGTTACCACTTTGCTCTCTTAATGTTACCACTTTGTTCTCATAATGTTACGACTTTGCTCTCTTAATGTCACGACTTTGCTCTCGTAATGTTACGACTTTGCTCTCGTAATGTTACCACTTTGTTCCCGTAATGTTACGACTTTGTTACCGTAATGTTACGACTTTGTTCTCGTAATGTTACGACTTTGTGCTTGTAATGTTACGACTTTGTTCTCGTAATGTTACGAGTTTGTTCTCGTAATGTTACGAGTTTCTCGTGATGTTACGAGTTTGTTCTCGTAATCTTACGACTTTATTCTCGTAATGTTACGAGTTTGTTCTCGTAGTATTACAACTTTGTTCTCGTAATGTTGCCACTTTGTTCTCGTAATGTTACCACTTTGTTTTCGTAATGTTACCACTTTGTTCTCGTAATGTTACCACTTTGTTCTCGTAATGTTACCACTTATTCTCGTAATATTACGACTTTATTCTCGTAATGTTACCACTTTGTTCTCGTAATGTTACAACTTTGTTTTGTAATGTTACGACTCCAGCCTGGCCCTAATACTGCGTCGTTAATTTTACATTCATGAGGACAGAACGGAAAATATTTGCTGCAGTGTTTAAGCCCCCTGTGGCCGTTGATGGAACTGCAGCTTGTCATAGCAGGCTGTGCCCACAGGGTGGCAGTGGAATCATCATTACAGCCTGTGATCCAATCCTCTGGCACTGTGAGCAGCCTTATATCGCCTTCCTACTCTTCATGTTTTGGATAAATCCAGACTCAGACCTGATCCCAGCCTCTGAGTCAAACTGAGGGTCCGAACCTCGTGGTTGGAGAAAAGTCGGACTCCCTCCATCTGATGGAAGACGGGGTAGTGGCTGGCATCGATCTCGTCTCGTCTGTAGACGTCTCCGGCCAATAGGAAGGCATCCAGGCCGGAGCGGACCAGTTCCGTCTGGTGGGCCGACGTGTGAGCTCGAAGCATGGTGGTTCTGGAAAGGAGCGGGATCATGAAACCCTGGGCCGGTCCAAATCAAGGACTCAAAGTGTGAGTCTCTGAGAGCTGAAGGTCACCTGTTCAGGTAGTAGTTGTCTCCTGGCTTCCTGCTGGGATGATCGGCTGGGATCAACAAGCTGCAGGAGGAACAGAAACCATCTTTCATCTGATGTTCACTTGAATTATGAATCCAGCCAGCACATGTTCTATTAAAGATGAATTAGCTTCTAGGAACACATTAGCATGGCGGCAGAGGCTTTATGTGAAGCTGGGTTTCTGCTGCCATGGCCCCGCCCACCAGGAAGCTGGTGATGAACTGATGAACATTCATCAGTTCATCACCATCCATCCATCCATCCATCTTCTAACCTGTCAAAGTTCTGCTCCACCGTCACCACAGGACTCAGGTTATCGTGGACAGAGAACACTGGGTTCCCCCAGCGGCCGATGTAGGAGCTGTGAAGGAAAATCAATCATTGTTGTGAGAGAGCACAGATGAACAGACCAAACCAAAGGCTCAGAGGAACATTTAGAGAGACTTCACTCAAAGAAGAAGGGATCATTAAAACCTCAGTGTGATGGTTTTACTTCTTCGAAACAAAGCTAACTCTCAGTTAATGAAGCTACAGGTTCAGGTATGAGCATCTCCTGGTGGCTGCTCTGACCAGCCTCAGGCGTACCCTCCTAGGATTCTACCGCTCCTTGGTACCAAGTCCAACCGAGCTGAAGGAACCAAAAATCAACCATCCTGGATTCTGGGAACTTTTCACAGGGTTTAGATTCACAAGTGTTTGTCTGCAAGATGTTAAAAATAAGAAGAAGACTGAGATTCCCGACCAGATAAAACAGGAAAGCAAGTTCAGTCACTGCCTTAATCAAAAGAGGCCAGAAGGAAGGATTAGATTGAACATTTCTCTGGTCTTTGACGGAAAAGGGAAGCTCTTTTGAATTGAAAAATCTTCCTGGATGGAAGAGAAACGTCTTCAAACTTGGAAACAAAATCCAGTGGATTGATTTTTTTACTTTTTTGGAATGACGATGACCTGGATGACTGAGAATCACCACCAACATATTTAAGCTAATTTATCTTCCCTTCAAACAACTTTCTCTATTAAACCCTCATTTACTCATATTGGGGCAACTGACCAATCAGAGAGACTCTAAAATCCTCTAGAGCTTTTACAGGAAACTTCCTGTGACTAAAGTTCAATCTCAACCAGCAGAGCAGATATGAGGGACTAGACAGCTGCAGAGTTTCCGTCTGAGGTAGATTTCCCGCCCCTCTCTGGCTTCTCCTGTGATCTTTCCAGAGACTGAAGTTCACAACCTGTGAAATGGCAGAACCATAAAGCACGGCAAGCCCACCACCTTCAGTGACAGCTTAATGATTCATTAATGCAGCATTAGGTGCGCGGTGAGCAGCAGCCTGATGATATTTCCCCGCTGCGTGCGGCGCAGCAAACTTTAGCTCTCTGTCGTCCCTGCAGATCATCCGTCAGCAGGTTGAGCCCACAAATATAGAAACATGTGAGGCAGAAGCTGCTGTTCTGTGGAAGCGGGAGATGAGCTATTAGGTCCCCACGCGTAAACAGTGGGGTTTAAGGAGCCAGGTCGATTAGACAATGCTGCTACTAAAACAGCAGGGGAGAAAACTGCAGGCCTTGGTGCTGCGTCTCATTCTGTCTTATTACATTTCAACGCAGATATAGTTTCATTTAACATGATAGAAGTTTGCTCTGGAATGTTCTAACTGAGGACAATATCTAGTGTGAAGCAAACATGTTTGACTTTAATGAATTTCCAGTAATAATCCACAAGTTTTAACACGAGATAACAGAGATAACATCCGGGATTCATTCTGAAAGGTTCTTCTAAAGCGTTCAGGAGTTAATTTCTAACCATTCCTCCAGGGAAGCATGTTTAAAGTCATGACCGCCTCCGGTCATGCAAGCTAACGCTAAAAAATTTAACTGAAAAATAAGTATTGAAAAGCCGGTCATGCAAACTAACGCTAACTCAACGGTGAGTTTATTACTTTAATTGTTCTGTAGTTGAGTTAGCATTAGCTTGCATAACCGGCTCAGGTCATGCAAGCTAACGCTAACTCAACGGTGGGTTTATCACTTGAATTTTTCTGTAGTTGAGTTAGCGTTAGCTTGCATGACTGGAGCCGGTCATGCAAGCTAACGCTAACTCAACGGTGAGTTTATTACTTAAATTTTTCTGTAGTTGAGTTAGCGTTAGCCTGCATGACCGGCTCCGGTCATGCAAGCTAACGCTCAAAAATTAAACTGAAAAATAAGTATTGAAAAGCCGGTCATGCAAGCTAACGCTAACTTAACGGTGAGTTTATTACTTAAATTTTTCTGTAGTTGAGTTAGCATTAGCTTGCATGACTGGCTCCGGTCATGCAAGCTAACGCTCAAAAATTAAACTGAAAAATAAGTATTGAATAGCCGGTCAT